TTAAAACAGAATGGCACCCGACTTCAAAACCTATCCCCGAGCTATTCTACGTCTTGGTTTTAGGCTGTTTCGTTTAGTTTTTTAGGCGCGTCAGCCTGTCGAATTCTCAAGTCGGTAGCTGTAGTATTACTATTAAAACACTTGGCAGAACCAACTTCGTATAAAACCGAAAAATACCGCGGGCTCCCAGTCTGGAGCGCTGGGGGCGTGTGGTGCGCTGGGGCTTCCCCCGGGGGTGAGGTACCCTGACCTTCCAGGAGGGCTCAAAACAAAATGGCACCCGACCTAAAAACCTATCCCAGAGCTATTCTATGTCTTGCTTGTAGGCTGTTTCGTTTAGTTTTTCAGGCTTTCAGGTCTCCAGTGCTAAGAAATAGCTCTCTGGAAGGTCAGGGTAAGGAACCGAACCTTATACGCCGATGCTTTCTTCTGGTCCCGCGCTGAGATTCGCACGAGAAAACGGATTCTGGTGCACACGGCGTCCTCGTGCATACATTGTTTGTTGTCTCCACGGGAATACGGGGACAAATGTATACACCACACCACCCCGACGTCGTCCCCGACCCTCCAAAAAGTCATGGGATTGAAAAACCGCCCGCCACTGGTAATGTAGATGTTCCAGTTCCCGTTGAGGGGCCCGTGGGTGAGGAGCCCCTGGTCTCCGACGCCCCAGAAGCAGCGGAGCGGGCGGCTTCCGGCCGCTTGCGGCCTCTGGGGGGCCCCCGCCGAGCTCAAGGGAGGGTCACGAAGCGACTCGGGACGAACAACCGGCCCCAGAGAAGTGGTCCAGACCTCTGGGGCCCACGGCACGTTCGTTGACTGACGCCCCCACCGTGGTTTTCCCCCTTCGGGGTGGTGTCCTCGGCCTGGGGATGCCCGCAAGCAGCTCCCGCTCGCCGGGGATCCCCCGGGATCGGGCACGAGAGAGCTCCAAGACACCCCCCTCTCGACTCCGATCCAGTTGCCGAGCACTGATCTACCAGGTCGCCTAACTTCGCGCATCGCGCCCCACGATGCGCCACGCGCGATTGTCGTCGCGCCCCTGCGCCGCAATCCCTGGAGAAGGGCGCCTGTCTAACCCAAGCCACGATACTCGAAGCGCGATTATCTTCGCGCATCTGGGGGTGACCTAGATCTACCCGAGCTGTTCGGCAACTTCGCCTTGCGACGACAGTGCGCAGCGTGCAAGGTGCTGTTGAGGCGACCTCGCCATTGCAGCCCATCTGAGACCGCTCCCCTCCCACCCCGCCTATAAGCATGTCGGGCGCCTTGGCAAGAATATAGTCTCCCAAATTCGCACAAGAATCCGACGCGCCCCTTGGGCGCCAAACCGTATTAGACTGGCACCTTGCCTGTTACCCCGGCTCTTCCCCACAACAGCCGCCTGCGCATCAAATCGTCCCGTCGCCATCATAATCGCACATCTGACGATGGATGGAATACGCAAATCCGAAGCTGTCCATTGGAGAACCGATCATGAACATATCATGGGCCATGCTTGCCGCCCTGGAAAGATGGAGAATACGCGTGGATACTCCCCATCCGTGGACCATGACCGATACAATGCCCCTCGCTGCAAGTGTGGGACTCATTACTGAGAGGTGCGTGCCAAGTTTTTCTCATGGCTGCGGTGGGCATTCGGACCAGAATGGTGCTCAGTCTCTGTGGCAATGCAGAAGAACAGTTACACGCGATATCACATTGAGTGCTCGGCTGCACATACATGCTTTATAGAATTAGCCAACTGTCGATAACAAGTCTGACAAGGCTGCAGGCTGCGCGTGGACATACTTCTGAAGCTTGGACTGGCGGACTCCACGTTAGTGCAGGCATAAGAAGCTGCAGACCTCCAACTGTCAAACATGTCTTACTGCTACCATGCGTAAAACTGCGACCTTTCAACTTGTGCATGCCTGGTCTCTCGTTGAATCCTCGCATTGAAATTTATCTCTCACCGTTTGCTCTCCTGACAAAACCTGTGTGACTGTCTTGGCCTGTCTGTGAGGCTACGTCAAAGTCTCCGCCTGCCTGTCTGTCTGTCTGCTGGTCCCTCTGCTCTTCCTAATCGCCCGTTTGTCTGTCTTTCTCACGGTGCCTATAACTACCTCCGTCTATCTGTCCTGGTTTCTCTCTGCCTCTTCGTCTGTCTCTACCCCCTGTCTGTCTGTGTAGTGGTGTCTGCGCTGGCTGCCAGCGCTTATATCGTTTGAATCACGTCGACATTTTCTTGACGAGTCCGCCCAACCGTCTTTGCGTTCGGGCCGACCTCGTGACACGTTTCGTGCGCCACTTTGGCATCCCGCAATCATCGTCGCTGCATGTTGTGGTCGAGCGCTCGCTTGGAGTGCTCTTCAACTTTCTGGTGCTCGTTTGGCTTTGCCAAATCTGCCACTGCTGACTTTCTCATATATGCGGCGGTCTTGTTCTTTGGCCAATCTTAATGAGAGCTCATGGCGGCTGGCCAACATACCTGCTTATGCTGGGTTCTTTGCCCCGCAACATGCTGTCGTGCCGCGTAACGCTTGGGACAACTGTGTATGCCTGGCTGTCGGTATCTCTATCTCTATCTCTATTTCTCTGTTCCCCTTTTCCTCTCCGTCTCTCTCTGTCTCGCTCTCTGCCACTCGTTCGATTTCACGCTTTACCAGTGTCTGTTTTTACCACCCTGCCTGTTGTTTCCTTCATTTCTCGGCCTCTCCTATCGTCCCTTTGCCTGTCTGCTTGTTTTCTACCAAGCCTCTCTCCCTATATACGTATATGCATACTATATGCATACAGATGCACATCTCGAGCATACATGTGTACACCAGTATCCCTGCGTGTTTTTCCTGTCGCTGCGTGTCCCTCTTTCAATCTGGGTCGGGTCTATTTTAAGATTCTCTGTCGCCATGTCTGCCGCCGTCTGCGTTGAAGTCCGTCCCTATCCTTGTAGCTGCCTGCGTCTCCTCTGGCCCTGCGGCTGTCCCTCTCCTCGGTGGCATTCCTTGGAATGTACTAAACTTCAATCGCGCCTGCAACCTCATCCTTTCCCCAACTTTCCTCCAGCACTTCCGCCTTTCTTACTTGAGTTCCCTTCGCTGTGCTCCCGTGGATGTATCCGAATGTAACATCGATATCCTTCTTCCCCCTTCGACCCCTCTAGTTCTTCGCTCAATACTTGAATAGACCTCGCCTGCAGATAGGTCAGGCTGGTCTCCCTTTCTTAGTCCCCCCATCCCTGTTTGAAAAGACTTCCACACACACGAAGTACATTCCACGCCATTGCTGACAACTGATCTTCCGCGCCTCCCTGCATGCATTCATCTCTGCACCCAATACTTCTTTCAAAAAGATGCACTCATCTTGACGGCCACCTCCTACACAACCCTCACCCCAAACGAAAGCGATGACCATTCCCAATTCGGCAACGGCTCTGAATAACAATATAAGTTTATCAATCCGTCCATGTACTGTTGTGGAAGGACATCCTTGCCAGTGGGGAATGGAGGCGGTCGTGCCATCTGTCAAACCAAGACTGCTTGTGAACTTCCGTCGCGCTGCTTATTTGCAACCCTCGCTGAAGCAATTTGTGCGGATGTCCGCACAACGAAAACTAACAAAGATGAGCGCACTAGCACCGATGATCGTACCACGCAGAGAATGTGTTGTATGCCGCACGTGGACCAACACACATGTCATTGCACGGCATAACATGCACATTTGCGCAACACCAACCTTGCTGTCGAATCGAAACTGTAAACTTTATCGCTTTGCCGCTACGCGCCGCCGACGAATCGAAATGCCGTGTTGTTGCAATACTGGCAGCTGATGAAATGGATTTCCGGACCCTTGAAACTACGCTCTTGCCAATCCAGTCCTCGATCACGGGGGGGCGCATTACTGCCACTGCTTGCGGCCCAAACTCTCCCAAACAACCAGAAAGTCGATTACGTGGCGTGCGTCAGCTTATGCCTGTAAATATCTCGTACATGTCTGGATCTTGTTTTGCGCCTCTGACGTCACACCAGGCTGTTGTAGCCACACAATATGATGATACCGTCCGAATGACTTAAACAACAACTCTTACTGCACATGAAAGTTGCTTAGAAAGATACTCGCGCACTCAACCTACTGGAATGGTGTACTACGTGATGTTTACTCCTCATTGTGTCAATGGAACTTGAAACGTTGTGTTTTGTCAATGTGACACACTACTTAACGATCTTGTCGGTTTTGACACGCATACATGCAGCAAACTTCCGACGTTTCGATGCCTGGACGATGTCAGACGTTTGTTTGCACACGTAACAAATACGTACATCTGTCAACTCCGATGGCTGGAATGAACAATTGTGGAACTGGCTCCGCAACAACTCGTAATGAGAAGGCAACACATGCAACATTGCCGGGTGCACAACGCAGATGCCATGATGTGCACAAGTGGGTTCCCATTTGGAACCATCAGGCTGCGAACCTGACGTTTGACATACCACGTATTTGCACACCTCTTTGCTCCTCGGCGCCTTCGCAATGTCTTCTGCCGATCTTGCCCTACCTCCAAGCTTCCCTCTCCTTCTCCTCCTCCTCCTCCTCCTCCCCCTCCTCCTCCTCCTCCTCCTCCTCCTCCCTCTCCTCCTCCTCCTCCCTCTCCTCCTCCTCCTCCTCCTCCTGCTCCTCCTCCTCCTCCTCCCCCTTCCCCTCCTCCTCCTCCTCCTCCTCCTCCTCCTCCTCCTTCAGGGCACCCAGCCTCTCTGGGGAACAAAGCTGCGTCGGTGGACGACGCGCGCCCCCCTCGACACCAGCACCAACTTTCCCGCGCCCTCGGTCGCCTCAAGGCTGCTTCTGGACACGTCGAACGAAGGAAACTCCGCACTCGCAGCGCTGCATACAGTCGGGGAGTTGACCTCAGGAACCCCAAATAAGGAACGAGGCCCCTTTTTTCCATGAGTTAAACTTCGATTTCCGATCGAAAACATAAGGAACACCTGAGGCAAGCTGCGACACACTTAAGGAACGCGGAGCCCCTCCCCAACGAAAAGGGTTCCTTCTTCAGGGCCCCGACTGTACAGCCGGACCTTGAGAGCGTGAGACACGAGCCCGTGAGACCATCTGCCGGCCCAAACTGAAGGACATTCGAGGGTGCCCTCCCTCAAGATGCACGAGATCCCCCAACAGGCACGACTATAACATCAAGGCACCCTCCCCGAACCGACCTCGATCTTATACCTGGGTCCGACTGTGCTCTGCTTTCGCACTCTTCTGGGCACGTTCCGTGGTGAACTTATATCGGCCACAACGGGAAGCGCTGCCACAGGCGCCCATGTGCGGAATAAGAGATTGAGGCTGGTTAGGCGATTTTGGTGCCGTCTGAGTCTTTTGTTTGTTTTGTTTTTGTTTGCTTGTTCTTTTCCATCCTGTTGTGCCACCCTCTTGTGACAATCCTGTAGCTCTCGGAGCAATTTTTGAAACCCTTGGCCACTTGGGGCTTCTTGGGCAAGTGCTTCTTGCAGCGAACCGTCTCGGGAGTCGGAAGCGGTATCGGTGTGATGTGACTGGCGTCGGTGTATAGTACATGCTGATGCTTCGGGCCTGTGATGCATCCCCAATCAGCATCCTTTCGGAAGGCTCGAATGCGATGCCTGCAACTTCGCAGCGATCATGGGCTTAAAAAAAAAAACGCGTCCACCGCCCCGAACGGGCCCGTTGAACACCCTGGGTCGACACATCCTTGGAGGTCCCAGTGCGATGCCTGCTACTTCGCGGCAACCATGGGTCTCTGAGCACAGACACGTCCACCGCTCGAAACGAACATTCCCCGAGAGGTACCAATCTGGGCGCCTCCGGGCCCGTGAAACACCCGTGGGAGACGCCCCTTTGGGAGGCTCGCGTGCGAGGACTGCTGCATGGCGATTTTCACGGGCCTCTGAAAATAAGACACGTCTACCGAACCAAACAGGTGCTCTACATGAGAGGGGGGAGGAGGAGGAAGAGGAGGAGGAGGAGGAGGAGGAGGAGGAGGAGGAGGAGGAGGAGGAGGAGGAGGAGGAGGAGGAGGAGGAGGTCCCACCAATTTGGGCGCGCAGGGACCCGTGGCGTGTACCCGTGGTCGACACCACCCTGGGCGGTCTGAGTGCGATGCCTGCTGCATAGCCGTGGGCACGAGCGAGCATGAGTGGGATCTGGATGAGTTGGAGTCCGGCTACGTATGCGTGCGTCTGAATATGAGGGAGGAGGAGGCGGATGAGGATGAGGAGGAGGAGGAGGAGGAGGAGGAGGAGGAGGAGGAGGAGGAGGAGGAGGAGGAGGAGGAGGAGGAGGAAGAGGCGAGGCGGAGGAGGCGGAGGAGGCGGAGTGAATGGGTCTGGCAATGAGCGGCTGATTGCAGATGCTTGGGCGAGAGTGCGTCTGTGTATGGGTAGCTGGGTGTAAGGTGGCTGAGCCTGGTGATGACGGGAGGAAGGCCAGAAGGAACGGGAGGCTGGACCGTGTCATGAATAATAGGAGCCCCACGTTTTGGTTATGAGGGACAACATACACCTCGATCTCAGGAGCATCCCAGGCTGCTACAGGGCCTGGCAACTCCCTCCCAGATCCTCTCACAGCCTTCCAGGGCCTCCGAAAGGCTACACTATACATTAGACTCCCCACTGTCTCCGAGGGCATCCAAGAACCTCCCTGACCCTGGTAGACCCTCTCAAAGCTTCGCACATCTCCCCAAAACTTCCAGCGCTCCGGGAAACGCCAAGATGCCCACGATACGCCCCAGGACGGCTCGACAAAGCCCCAACAAGGCATCGACAGTGTGCCCATGCATTCTGCCCCAACATCGCCCAAAGATGTCCCAACATTGCGCGATAAATGTAAAACTTGCCTTAGGACTGATCCGAACGAGCTTGCACGCATTTCCAATCAAACTGTTGTCAATCCGCAAATTCACCAGAGGCGGGGGGCTGGCTGCATAACATTCTTACATTAGAACTAAGCCTTTTGGTGATACTCGGCCGTGTGAGCCGTACGAGGGCGCATGCAATATTGCCTACCGCGTCTAGCCTCCTGCAAACAAGGCACCTACGTGCGCTTTTAGGCAAACGGCGGCGCCCGCATTGCTACTGCTTTGTGCGTCAGCTCTACCGTCGAGCTGCTTTTGCCTGGGCGCCAAATCATCGCCACGTGGGGGGTTACGCATGTCAGTATTGCTGTCGTTGCTCTTGACAATGCACTCGTATGTGCAATCAACTTGTACCGCTACATCTATTCCAAAGAGAGGCGACGCATATTGCTGCCAATGTGCATCTTTGAAAGGCATGCTGGACAATCCACTCCCAATCGTGCCATGCATGTCTCCATATACCAATGCTGCTGGACGATCGATACGCACTACACTTCTCACAGAGAACAAGTTGAACATCGGAAATCGCCTCATTTAGTTGCGTCTTCAAACTATCGATCTCGTCCTCAAGGCTCTTTCTCCCCTTCCGCATGTTGAGACGCCACGCGCGAAGTGCATCTCCGCGTTGCATCTGGAAGCGTGCAAGGTCGACAGATGTTCTCTCCTCTAGCTCGCCGCTTCTCCTACTGATTCTCTCACGTGTAGTCTGGCTCCATACCATTGTGTTCTTCGTGCCACTGTCATGGCATGCGCACTGCGCGTCATGCTGCCAATCAATTCGCCCTTTGCCCAACACGCTCTCTCTACGCTCTCTCTCTCTCTGTCCCGCTTTTTGCCTATCTGTCTGTCTTTCTGTCTATCTGTCTGTCTACCTGTCTGTCTGTCTGTCGGTCTGTCTGTCTGTCTGTCTCCTCCTCCTCCTCCTCCTCCTCCTCCCCAGAGATCCAACGTCTTGCAAAAATCAGGGCGGAGGTTTTTCGCAACTTGCGGCCTCTAGGGGTCCTCGCCGGGCTCTGGGGCCGTCAAAAAACGGCTCTGGATGAGAAACCGGTCCTGGGGAATGGGCCGAGACGTCCACGGGCCCCGTACTGACAAAAATCACGACATCGGATCTCTGGGCTTGGTGCGGGCCCACAGGGGTCTCCCGATCGCCGAGCTGCGGTGCGGCAGTCGCATCTTGCGCGCTCGTGCTTAGTCCCCCCGCGGCCCTCAAGAAGTCGCGCACCGAAGGGCACTCTTACCCAGGTTCACGGATATGTGTACATCAGATATGTGTACATCCGAAATGTGTAGTTATGATTGTCCTTCCTGTCCTTCGTTCCTTCATTTCTTCCTTCCTGTCCGTCTGTCTCTCTCTCTCTCTCTTTTCGCTTCTCTCTCTCTCTGTTTTTTTGATTTCCTCTCTCTCTCTCTCTAAAGAGAGATAGAAAGAGAGAGAGAGAGAGAGAGAACGAGACATTCTTACCAACCTGTGCGCGTCTTGTTCATGCCCCGTCCCGCTGCTCATGTCTCGTCAGCCAAAGAGCTTACACGTTGAAGAAGACAACTCGTTGGACATTTCAGGAGTAGATGAGGGCACAATGCCAACAACGTGTACAGCTGCTGGTTAGTCTACACATCAACATCTTGAAACGTGAACGAAAATATCTTGGAGCTGCCTGGATTTCATGTGTCCACATGTTCACGACAAAATACGCAATAAACAACGAGATGAACACCACCATCGCGATGAAGGCTTCAAAGCCTTAGCCAATCACAGCGCTGCAGGACAACTATATTCTTGAGACTTTCAGCGTCTCTCTTGCACAAAGAGGGGGCAACGATCTTCGACCCCTGCACGCAACATTCGCAACAATGCGCGCAAGCAAGTGATGTATGATCGACAACACGCAAGAGTGACCCTGGGTAAGAGTGACCATTGGTGCGCGGCTTTTTGGGTGCCGCGGGGGGGGGGGGCCGGGCCAAACACGAGCCGCGCAAGATGCGACTGCCGCGCCGCAGCTCGGCGATCGGGGGACCCCTGTGTGGGCCCGCACCAAAGGTTGCTCCGGCGGAAGATCGCTCTCACGTCCAGTCGCCATAGCATGGCGCACATTCCACGCTGCAGCATCGTGCTGCAGCCATCGTGCTGCAGCACGATGGCTGCAGCACGTCCATCGCCACGGCAAGCCTCGGCCACG